TAATAATAATAATAATAATAATAATAATAATATCAAGTATTAAAAAAAAGATGTGGCTACTATCCAAAACAGCAGTTCTGTGTTGCATTTGCCTTTCTCTCCATATTCAGTACAACTGACTCCTGTCATCATCACCACCACCACCACTGCCAAACAAGGTTGGATATCAGTTCTGATTTCTCACTCAAGGAAATCGCGTTCAGCCATGAAAAGCCCTTCTGCAGTGGATGTGTTTCCTGCTATAGAAGGGCACCTCTGGGTCCAATCAGACATGTGTCTCTGTCCCCATCAGCTGGAGTGCAGGTGGTAGCACAAGGAGGAGGAAAAACACATCACATAAAGACATGGGGACTCAAGGTACCTGCATTGTTCTTTTTCATTCTTAGAATTGCCTCTCTTTCTCCAAGGAGTTCACATCAGCATCATGCAAAACAACAGCTCAAAAACACATATAAATGCTAAGCCAACCTAAAATAAGCTCTTGCTTCAGTAGCACCCTCCCTCCAGGGGTGGGAAGGCTTGTCTCTTACATCCTCCAATGTTCTGCACCTCAGTCTTTTAAACACTGAGGTGAATAAAATGAAAGCCCTCTAGAACACCCCGTCCTTGATAACCCCGCTCAGCATGTGTAAGCTCAAGGTGGAGAAAGAATGGAAACATCTCATAGTTGGTCTTCTGTTTCTTCTTCTGGCTTTGACTTTTCCTTAGCATTCATCTTGCCCTTCAGTTCCCCTGAACATACTAGTAGCCACTGCTGCAGCTAGCCTGATGTTGTGGCCTTGGAGCTTCTCACATTCTGCCAGAAGTGCATTGATGGTTCTTCAACCAGGAGTGGGTCAGTCAACTAAGGGATGAGGAGTGCTTGACTGCAGGCAAGACTGGCCTGCAGAGCTTCCTTCCAGGCTCTCTTCAAGCCCTCGACCACAACTATCAGCATTAAAGAAAGGCAGCCGCTTTCCAGCACTGAAGAGGACTGTGCTTCCTCCATGCACAGGGAGGCAGGAACAATCGCTCCCTGCCTTCTCTGCATGGAAGAGGGACCCCTGCGACATGGCACAGGCCCTCTGAAAAGGGGGTATCATTAGACAATCCACAGCTATGGCAGATTATGATGAATCAGGATGGGGAACTTTGCAATGGCAACCTTCATTTCTTCCTAATAGTTGTATCCTTGGGGAAGTAAAAATATCCTTCACCTACTGAGAGGCACAGTTGGAGTACCTTAAGTGCTTGGCCTTGGCCCTGACATCAGATGATGTCCTTGGCCATATCTGTTCCTTCTCCAGGCCCCATCTTCTGAGTGGGGTATGTCCTTCCTGGCGTACATCCTGGATATTCTCCCATGTTTACCAGATGGGAGACTGAAACTACAGGCTGCCCAAGAAAAACTGAGAAAGGACTGGGTTTTCTGTGCAACCCTTAGCAGACAAGCCACAGCTGAAAAGGAAACAGAACACACGGGTCTCTTGAGACGCTACCCAAAGGCAATGCTCCTTCTGCTTTTTATGTTCCTAAAGGAGCAAACAAGGGAATCCCAGCAGGCTGCCTGATACAGTCTTCCAAGAAAACGCCAGAATTTAATTGATACTCAGAACATACAAAAAGCTGGATGAAAAGACTACAGAGTACAACACCTGACTGTGCTTTTCCATCTAGGGCAGAGGAAGCTGATCGCCCTCCCCTGCCCAGACTTTTATTATTCTTGCCATTTTGTTTTTCTTTTCTGTCCTGCGTGCTCACAAAGTGTAACGAAAACAAACAAACAGTTTCAGCTGGAAGGCTACATCTCCACGACGGCACAGCCATGGCACTCCCATCAAAGACTGACCAGGTCCATCCAAGGATACTGCCTTGATGGCTTAGCTGCAGCAAGCAAAGGGGGCTGAAGACTCACGAGAGAGAGACAGAACAGCTCTTGATGCCAACCCAAAACCAGCTGCTTAAGGAAATCTCTTCTTTTTCCTTTCCTTTTTGTGGTCGAGAAAACTTTTGTTTGTGATGTGACAACAAAGAATATAGATGTTCCCATATTAATAATTAGATGTTAGCAATATAGCATTCCAAGACATAAGCTATAAGGGAACCAGAGGGACCTGCACATCCTTTAGCTCAGGGCTGGGCAGGTTTGTCTGCAGTGCCTGAGAACTTCATGATCAGCAGTGCAGCACCACTGATCTGGAAGGAGGCCTGGGACGAGAGAGGCTGGCCAAGGTGCCAGGCTGGTTTGCATGGTCATGAAGGGAAAAATAAGCCATGGTGGCTCATCTCCCCTTCCACACATACCTGCCACATGCCAGAGGATTAGCATTGGCAAGGCAGGAGTGCTTTTCACCTGCTTCGGCTGGTGTATCAGCTGTGTTCCTGCTTGGATGAAAGGAGCCTTGCTATAGTGACACTGGTGACCTCATGCCTGGATTACTGCAGTGTGCTCTACATGGGGCTGCCCTTGAAAATGGTCTGGACACTGCAACTTGTCCCAGACTGGGCAGCGCACCTGCTGACCAGGACTGGTGTCCGTGAACGTATCACTCCGGTCCTGCACAAGCTACATTGGCTCCCTGTTGCCATCTGCACCGGATAACAGATAACGCCCTAAGTGGCTTGGGGCCAGGGTATCTGAGAGAACGTCGAACCCCAGACACGCCACCCTGATCACTGAGTTCATCATCAGAGGCCCTTCGCCAAATCCCTCCCCCAGTGAAGCAAAAGAGGAGATGGCAAGAAGGGCCTTTCCATAATAGCGCCCCATCCATGGACCTCACTCCCTTCTGAGATTCAGCTGGTGCCAGCTCCTTGTTCTGTATTCTAAAAACCTCTCTCTTCCACAAGCATTTCAGTGAGGGAGCCATTTCATTTATTATTTTAGTGGCCTCATGATTTACACTGAGCCCACTGTGGGTTGTTGCTGTTTGAGCACCTTTAGGGCAGCTGGCAATAGCAGTCACACAGGAAAGGGGCAGTTGCCATTCTTGTTGAGAACTTAGGATCTGGTTCCTGCTGCCCACAATGAGGGCGAGTCACCCATGTTCAGATGACAACATAACCCATCCTTGGTACAACCATTCCTACCACAAGCCATAAATTACCATTTTTTCTTGTTGCCCAGTTTGGGCTCATACAGCATGACAACCCATTGTGGGTAGCAATCCACAATGGACTGTTGCATCATGCATATTTATTTATTTAAAACATTTTTACCCCATCCAATATGGAACAACGTCTCAGGACAGCTTAAAATAATTATCATACATTACCATTATACTTGCCTGGGGTTCGTTCATCTGGTACTTACTTTCCTACCTCCTCTCCAAAGCTATTTTTACTAGGTCTCTGGGTATCATATGCTTTATCAGGTAGGCCAGTCCAATAACTCTTCAGCTGAGCAATAAGCTGCAGCTAATTTTAATAGTGCACCCTGCTGGAAGGCAATCCTGTGACCCCAAAAGCATCTGAGGGGCCCCACACAACTTCAGATTCCCAGGCTGAGGTTGGAGACAAGAGTCCAACTCCAGGAGGGGCATTCCAAGACAAAATTAAAAATGCCCCTTCCTTCTAATGAGTGGTAGAAGTTTCTCATTAAATTGTAAGTCCTTTGAAAGATGCCTGGTAAGATTTGGGTTAATATGCAAATATATGCAAATATAATTAATCAAACACATAAAAAGGAGGTAGCCCAACAACTAATCATCATCTACTGGAAGCACTAACTTTATAATTATATATAATTTACTGCTTCCCAAATTTACTGTTTGCCCCCTCACCCCTTGTCCAGTTTCATTTGTCTGTTGTATTTTGATAATGACTACTTTGAGGCGCCATTGTCCATCAACATTCAATGGAGTTCTTTGAATCTAAACCTAAAGTGGGACAAAATGCATACATGCATGTTGGGATGATGCTGGAAGAAGAAAACCAGAGTCATTGTGATCTGCAAAAGGGAGTCAAAGGCCAGTCCTTCCAACTGAATCTGAATCCTACAAACCTCTCTACATGTGGGAGGAGGGGGGGAGAATATCATGGTCAGGTCATAAGATTGCAATCTCTAGTATGGGGATGGGATACAGTGGGGGGCTAGGAGGAGACCCAGGAGCAGGCTCTGGAGGTGGGGGGATGAACCCAGCAGGAGCTGGCAAACGCAGTAGAAGGCTGTGGGGAGACGCAACAGGATTAGGAAAGGCAGAGGCACACACATCTCCCGCACCTTGTGCCAGGCCTGAAAAGCAGATCTGACAAATACAAGACGCAATTTCAGGTTTAATTGTAAGGCTGGGGCTGTGAGGCACCACATTCTAAAAGGGCCACTATCAACAATACCAGGGAAGGGAAGAAAAATCTTGAAACAAATTTGGGATGTGGGTTATACTCAGGATGATTCTGGGTCTCTACTAATCCCCCAAAACAATACATAAATAATCATGGGTGATTCTGTCTTGAAGGCCAATTTTTGGTTGATGCCTTATTGTTGATAGCTAAAAAAAAAAATCAAAACAAAACCTTGAATAAAGTAGTTCAAAACAAGAGCAAGAGGATCCAAATGCATGTTACCACAAGGATATGGAGGTTATTTTCCCTTAACCTCTATCTGCACTACTCCATTCATACCTGGTAGAGGAGACCGACCCCTGAAGCAAAATATATGATCTTTTTCTACATCAGTATCACCCTTAATAGGATCTGGGTTGCTTGCCTGCTGGATGTTTTCCCTGAAATAGACACAATTTTGTCCTATTTTTATGGAGATTCCAGATGACATCACTGCTAATCTGTGGCATTTCGGTGTTTTCCGTGATGTCCTCCTTTTATTTTCCTCCCAAACAGGATTTGTGATTTAAAAAAAAATTGCAATGTAATTGCAACTCTGGCCTTCCTACTATGTACTGGCAAAGTACATTTGAAGGTCATTCTGAAACTGGTCCTTATTAAATAAGCTGCTTACTTCTGTCTGGTTCTGCCTTTTGTTTAATAGATTTCTGTTCCCAGGGATGAAGAACTTTATTTACTGGTTTCCTGTTTGCAGCCAGAGACAACATCTAATGCTGCATGAGCAGACTTGTGCATTGCGACTTCCTCTTCCTCCTCACGGCAGCCTCCACACTCTACCAGAAGCAACCCTGGAGGGCTCTCAAAGTCTTTGGGACAGATTTGGGAGTGACGCAGAGCACTACTGAAGAAGGGAGATCCACTCAGCATGTGGACACCATTCCAGTGGCGGATGGCCATAGCTGGTTCCTCTCAGAGCCCTTGCTCATGGCATTTATTATAATTTTAAGACTCACATGTCATTATTTCTTTTGAAACATACTGGGACTTTAAACATTCCTACTTTGATTTCAAATTAATAATGAAGAACTAGAAACCAAAATTAGAGCCATGGGGTGTGTGTGTTTGTTTTTAGAATGGAAAGATCAAAGGGGGAAAATGTGGACTGGAAAACAACAGGAGTGGTAAGCTTAAGCCCCATGGAGTTCAAACATGTATTTGAGTTCATTCTGAGCCAAACTGTTTCTGCCCTCCAGATGCGCACCTCTTAAAGCTACTTTGTCTTTGCAGAAAGAAAAACACAATAGACTTGCACTCTGAAATATGCACTTGCACATATTGTACAGTTAGCTTGTGGAACATGATTCTCTCTAAGGACGTCGTGCGGTTTTTGCTAATTGATATTCCCGGTGAATATGCCAAACATTTCAAGTTGCTGTGGGCTCCCCAGTGGGGACCCTTTTCAGGGTGCCACTGCAGGTGCTCAAGGAGGTATAGGAACTGTATTGGGGACCCCTGCTTTACTCAGTCTAAGCTGAAGCTCCCTGAAGCTGCCTTTAGTTTTGCAGAGCTAGAAAAAGAAAAAGCTGTACCTGTCTTCCCTTGTTCCCGTGGACCTTCTGGGAGCTTGTGAGATGAAAGATTTCAGTACCTATTCCAGTGCACCACTTCATCAGTCTTCAAAGCAGCCTGACATGACTGTGAGTGCATAACGTGGCACAAACAATGTCTTGTGTTGCACACAGTGTGGCCTGCGATGGTTCTTGCAGCAGCAAAACAGCACAACACACACTTCGCATCCATCAGGTCACCCCCGGGATATCTGTTTGAGGCCTGTCAGAAGACCACCTCTGCCAGAAACCTTAGAGGGCAGCAGCAAGTCAAGAGTAAACATGCTTCTAGCCTAAATGAACTGTCGTTCTCACATTAGTTCCCTGGAGCTAAGAATAATCCTTGTCTATCAGTGGCACCAAACCGGAGTACTCCCGGGGCACCTCGTTCCAGTCTTTGAGCTAAAAGCAAAAGGGGTGGGGACAAAATACCAGCACATTTTACCTTATGGCTCCATGACTGATAAGTGAACCTTAAGAGAGAGGTCACCCTTAGAGAATGGGAGAAAACTGAGCAAAATCCAAGGAACCAGCAGATTATTTGGGCCCTAGGACTGGGGTTCTGCACTTGATGCATTTAATCACCACACTCTTCAATGTGATTTCTGAAAATAAAAGCTACAGGTGGGTATCATGAATTCACTTGAGCAAGATCCAGGTCCCCTCCAGACGTTCTGGCCAACTCCCATCAACCTCAGCCAGCATGGCCAGTGGGCAGGAGCACTGAAAGTTGTAGTTCAAAACCCCTGGAAGGACCTAGGTTGAGAAAGGTGCCTAAACTGATCATGTAAGTCAACTCCCCCATCAGCTTCCTCTATAGCCAAGGGATGACTGCTAGGAACAACTGCTCTTTTGTGTCAAAATGCTACAGGGTATGCATAGAGCAGCAGTGGCAAAGTTGACAGTCTCTAGGCCATGGGTCCCCAAACGATGGCCCTGGGGCCGGATCCGGCCCACCATGCCCATCTGGACCCGTCGCACGTGTGCCCGCACACACGTCTGCTGCTGCCCACCTCGCCCTGGGTGCGGGGGGGCCACGGTTTGCTTGCTTGGAGAAACCAATCACCAAGCGGGCGCGTCGCTGCCTCGCGTGCCCCCCTTGCAGCACGGGCCCACCCCCACCCACCCCTCACCTCGCTCCCCACCCCGCACTGTCCCTGCCCCTGCGCCGGCCCGCGAGCACCACCGCCACCTTTCACCTGGCCCCCTGGTTAAAAAGTTTGAGGACCCTTGCTCTAGGCCCTTATGCATGATGACAATTCTTCTGTTCCAGTTCTGAAGAATTACCAGAATGATCAGCAAACCAGTATGAAGGGACAGTGGTTTTCAGCAGTGGTTCCTTTCCAAGTGGTTAGGCAGGCTGGTCAGTTCCTTTGCAGTCCAAGCACCAGGCAGTTGCAATGTAACCTCAAGGCAGGGGCTACAGAGCAAGGATAGAGTTAAGCATCAAATATTTACTAAAGAGATACTCTCTAGGTCTTTGTGCACTGGTGCACTGCTTTCTATTTTGTAGCAGAAGAGACTTCAGGCTACTCTATTCTTGGTCTTTGTTCTAATCCATTTTTAAAGCCCTCTCAAAGGAAGTCTATTCCCTTCCATTTTTTTTAGTAAAAGGATAATTATCTAAATTGCAACAGCATACTACATGGAAAGCAAAAATGGATTTAGTGACAGTACCAGTGCAGGCTTGTTGACAGCTCTGAAACCTCTGAGCAATAATCAATGCTGGATATTTGCAGGGTGTGTAGACATCTGCACATTTCAATTTATGTTTGTCATTCAGTGTCCTAGAATGACTCTTTCAGCATTTCCTGTATGTAAGCTGCAGGCTTGCTTTTAAGGGCCTTGTAGAAGGTTTCTCTCTAGTAGAGAAGAAAATAGGATGACTGCTGCACCAACAAGTCTTGAGATGAATAACTTCATACCCTTAACACAGGAGCAGTAACCAGCTTATATCCGAACCTAAAATTTACATAGTTGGATGAAAACTATCATTCCATTTGTCATTAAAGCCAGTGCTGAATCTTGAAGGATTGCATTATTTTTTTAACCTAGAAGCAGCTATCCTCTTAATCTTTATGTCCAGGAACCTGCAAAGTTTATGACAACCCCATTGTATTTACCATATTTACCATTCAAGATCTTTCCCAAAGAGATGCTCTACCTTGGTACAGGAAGTTGTAATCAAAGGAACTTTTAAAACACACACGAAAGAACCTCCCTTGCTGCAAGTTCATTGGTGAGCCAAATTCAGTGTGTTGGTGTTGGTCTTTAAGGTCCTCGATAACTTGGACCCCAGGTACCTAACAAATGCCTCTCTTCTTGTCAGCCCTCCAGAATCTTAAGGACATCTGCAGATGCTCTTCTTCAGGGCCACCTTCCCACACCAAACTGGATGTGAGGTGCTGACTAGGAAGGAAGTAATTTGGGCTGTGGGGGTCCACTTGTGGACTCTCACCCAAGATGCCCCCCTCTGGCACCAACTCTGTCAATCTCTAGGCAGGAGAAAACACCTTCTTGATCCCCCAGGGAGGATATTCCATCAGGCCACTGTGTTGATTAGAGTTCCCTTCTGTTTTAGAAGAGGGTTGTCAGGGAAATGTTTGTTTGGTAAAGGGTTGACCATCTCTCTCCCACACTGAAAACCACGCCATGTTGAAGCAGCATCTCTTTGTACAAAGAGGCTGCTGCAGCCTGACAGAGCGGAGGGGAAGGATCCTAGTTGCCTGCCCCTAGCTGCTCCTTCCACCAGCATGCAATGATGATGCTTCCAAACGTACCGTCTAGAATGGCTCGCATCTCTACACAGAGAAGCCAATATCAACCATTCTGTGCTCTGGAATATCTCTGTTCGGAGGGAGAATACATATATCATAGTATAATAAGTATCTGTATTTACCAGCCGGCAGCAAAGATTAACTATGACAAATTCCTGAATAGAGGTAAAGCACCCCTTTACATTGACTGTGATTCAGCATATCTGTGGTCAGAGTTGCTCAGAAAAGACAGATATTTGGGGTTTTATTATCAAATTTACCTATTCAGGGTTAATGCATGTTTGTAGTAACCCAGCTGGTCAGACCTGGTGAGTTCTTTTGTAGAATAAGTTCAGAATCATTAAGAGAATAGAACCAGCTTCTAAAGATACAATTCTGTGTCTGTTCAGGCAGAAAAAAGGCCTCTCGCTCTCAGGATGGCTGGGTGGGGCATGCTTGGAATGGTAGGTCCCCTTTCTGTCTAAAAGCATATAGGATTGTACACTAAGCCTAAATTTGTGAATGGCAACCTAGCCAGCTTGTAGCAGGAACAGAGCTTCTCACAATTGGTCCAAACAATAATCTACAGTAAGCGGTTATCTTTTACTGGTCTCACATTCCTGTACATGGGCATAAAGGAGACTGCTGCGTGCAGTTTTCTTGTTATCATCTAAGCTATTGCTCCAAAACAAAAGATTATATTTTCTCAGGCCATCTTTTCTTAAGGGAACTTGGAATGTGCCTTGAAATGCAAGATTCTGTGTGTTTAATAAAGACTGCCATTATTGATTTTTATTTGCATATTGAGGTGTGACATTTTTTCTTCTGTACTTCCCTTTTTCCTGAATAAAATTCTATTCTAATCAGACACTTGCTTTCATTAGTGCACAAGGTATTTTTGTACATCTCCCTAAAGCCTGAACCATGTCCTGTGAGAACATAGCTTTAATTTACCCCTTGTGTTCTAAGGATTGTTCACAAGATCCTGTAAGAATGGGTGTTCTCTGAGCTTTGGAAAAGTAATATGGATGCTCCTGTTTAATATTTCAAGCACTGGGCTTACAGGGGTCAGTCCTCCCATGAGAAATCACCAATAGCTAGACATCCTGGTCATTTCAGACTAGGATGAATCTATGGTGACAGACAATGGTAATTTCTTTGTAAGGAACCCATCTTTGGGGAAAGTTTCTCTCCCCACAACCCAGATTAGTCACACAAGCAAAACTGTGATGCTTTAACAAAGCATGGCATGGATACAATTAAACTTCATACAAATTAACCCTTCCTAATCTAGTCCTACTTATAATAGCCATTGCCAATAAGCATACACTTAAACCTCTTTCACTGAAATTAATGGAACTTAAAATTGCTTAATTTTCCCATGATAGGACAGCTGGAATAAAAAAAAGTAAAGGACACACATGTGCATAACAAATACTTTCTGGTAGAATGTTGTTCTGCTAATAGGAGAACTTGGATTCTGCAGAAATTCTGCATTCCTAAACACATTCTAACCAATACAAGTTACAATAATTCTAGCTATTTGCATACATGAAAAAATTGAAAGATAATTTGACTGTCATGTTAAACGTAT